GGTTCTCAACAAGAACCGGTTTTCGATACCCATCCCTAGGCAGGACACAGTGGACTTTGGCACTGGGATGATTTTTGTGGTTTTGAGGCATGCAGGTACCACAGCTGAGCTAAGTGGTGTATTTAAGATGTCCGAGAAGATGCCTGCAAGCTGGTCAGCACACTCCCGAAGCACCCGGCCAGATATGTTGTCAGGTCCTGCAGCCCTTCATGGGTTTACTCTGCGAATTGTTATCCTGACATCTGCTGTGGACAGGCAGAGTACTTGGTCTTTGGGGGATGGGGGCATTTTCTTGCTGGCTCTCTGCCTCAAAATGTGCAAATAAGTCCTTTAGTTTGTCAGGCAGGGAGGGATCACTGCTGCATGCCAGAGGTGTTGTATTGTAGCCTGTGATTGTTTGCCCTGCCACATGCACCATCTGTCCTTTGAACTTGTGAAGTGTGTATTGATCTTTTCTGCATACTCCCACTTTGCCTCTGATAGCCCGTGACAGGTCTGCTCTGGCTGTAGTGTAAGCTTCTCTATTGTTGGAATTAAATTCAGAATCTGTGATTTTCATAGGGTTGCGAAGCTTTGCAGAGAACCGGGGTTTATGGTTTGCATAGGTGATGATGGTCTTGGAGACAGTGACATCCTCAATTCTTTTTCTGATGTAGCTGGTCACTAAGGTTGTGTACTGTAGCAGCTTCTCTAAACATATCCCAGTCTGTGCATTCAAAACAATCTTGCAGAAACGGTGTGGTCCCATCTGGCCATGTTCTCACCTCTCTGAAAGTTGGTCTGATCTTTTTAGATCAAGATTAGTTGTGATGTTGCAGAGACTGAAACTCCTTCCAGGGCTTCTCCAGAGGCTGCGCTTGTGATTTCAGCTAGTTTTGGACACCTGGAGGCTACGGAGCCTACACACCTCGCACAGCCTGTTTCAGCTTGGCGCTCTGATGAGCCAACCCAGCCTTCTTCGTCATCGGCTGAGTGCTCATGTGACCTCTGTGTAGTGTCTTCTCTGGTCTGCATTCACAACAAAAAGGCAATGGTTAGAATGCTCTTTTTAATGTCGTGGGCAATCAGCACAAAATCTCGCAGGAATCCTCCATTATTCTGAGGATTACATTT